TCCTCAGCCAAAGCCAGCAAGAGATTGGTCTTATAAACAGCATGGGAAAATCCAAAATAAAGGGCAGCTAGCATTATCACTAAATGGAAGCTACAGTAAGATCTCTTTCTTTCAAATGTGTTAGCAGCACATATCATAAATAAAATACAATGCATTTATACAAAGTTTTTGAAACGAAGTATTATTCAACTTTTTAAAGCAGTATGCTCTGGACAATGCTGTACTTTGAATGGCAGGCCTGGCTTTTCTCAGAGTTAATCTAAACCTCTAAATACAACTTTTTTTCTTTCTTAAAGGGCATATTTAAGACACTACAAGTGATCTCTTAGGAATCCTATTCAAAATCCTCATCTTCTTCTAGGCTAGGTGCAGTAGCTCACACCTGTAATTTCACTACTTTGGGAGGTCGAGGCAAGTGGATCGATCACCTGAGGTCAGGAGTTTGAGACCAGCCTGGCCAACATGGTGAAACCCCATCTCTACTAAAAATACAAAAATTAGCTGGGAGTGGCGGCAGGCACCTGTAATCCCAGTTACTTGGGAGGCTGAGGCAGGGGAGTCACTTAAACCTGGGAGGCAGAGGTTGCAGTGAGCTGAGATCCAAGATCACGCCATTGCACTCCAGACTGGGTGAGAGGGAAACTCTGTCTTAAAAAACAAAACAAAACAAAACAAACAGGCGCGGTGGCTCACGCCTGTAATCCCAGCACTTTGGGAGGCCAAGGCAGGCGGATTACCTGAGGTCAGGAGTTCGAGACCAGCCTGACCAACATGAAGAAACCCCCGTCTCTACTAAAAATACAAAATTAGCTGGGTGTGTTGGGCATGTGCCTGTAATCCCAGCTACTCAGGAGGCTGAGGCAGGAGAATCACTTGAACCTGGGAGGCAGAGGTTGCACTGAGCCAAGATCGTGCCATTGCACTCCAGCCTGGGCAACAAGAATGAAACTCCATCTCGAAAAAAAAAAAAAAAAAAGTTTTCATTTTCAGTGATTTAATTTCCTTCCTTCCTCAAATTCTAAAAAAGAACAAAGAATTAAAGCCTCAAAACATAAGAATACAAAATATAAACCATGGAAATATCCCATTTTCCCAGGGATTTTATTGGTTTTGGGTTTCTAACCTGAAACACAGTAATATTCTCAAGGTTTTTTACTGTTACCATAATACTCTAAAATGGAGAAAATATTTTCCATGTTTGACCTACGCTTGTTGCTTCATTTCATTGGTCCTTCTAGAAATTGTTTTCTTAAAAATAAGAATGGTTCAACCCTTACTTTCTTAGACGCACCCCCCAAACTTGTTTTAAGAATTTGCTTTATGTACTATGAGAAAAGAAAAAAAAAAGGCTGAGGGTTGCTTCATCATACAGAATACATAACTGCAAATCTAACATGCTCTGTAATTACAGGATGGAGTACCCAATTTTTCTTTCTTTGAGACAGGGTCTTGCTCTGTCACCCAGGCTGGAGTGCAGTGATGTGATCACAGCTCACTATAGCCTCAACCTCCCAGGATCAACTGATCCTCACCTCCTGAGTAGCTGGGACTACAGGTGCACACCACCATGTCCGACTAATTTTTGTATTTTTTGGTAAAGATGGGGTTTCACCATGTTGCCCAGGCTGGTCATGAACTACCAGCCTCAAGCAGTCCACCCACCTTGGCCTCCCAAAGTGCTGGGATTATAGGCGTGAGCCACCGCACCCGGCTGAGTATCCAATTTCAAACTCAAATCAAATTCCATCCTGAAGACTTCCTGCTATTAATACAGACCACTTTCTATTATGCAGATTATCAATTTAAATACAGTTTACATTTACTGTGCTCAGAAGTCCATTTCAATATTATTTGATTTATTTTAAATTAAGTTTATATCTAGTTATCTATAACTACGTAGTAGCTTGAACTATGCAGTTAGTTACAGATAACTAGATAGTTATGGATAACTAGGTAGTTATAGTTAACTCTTTCCACAACACTCAACTCTTAGGTCTTTTTCCTCACCTTCCCCTTCTCTTCAATGTCATGCCTAGTAAAGACAGATTCTCTACAATAAAATATGATCAGTTTCTTCAAGAGAAGAAACTGCAACAAATGTTCTTTCTCCCTATCATGTAAAGTAGTGTAAGGTTTACTCTTATTTAAGTCTGAAGTTATATTTCAATGCAATGCCATGTTAAAAACTTACATTAATGGAATTATAAGAAACAAAGGCTAAAATGTACCAATACTTTCTTAGAAGACAGGTGTTTGACGAAACAAAACTAAAGGGGAAAACTCTCTAGTCTCAGGCTACTATTGCTTTAAACTTGGTACCAGTCAGGTATTTCTTTGGTCTAACCCTGAAAAAGTACAAATTACACACATCCCCACACTTTCAAAATATGCCAAAGAATTATTTATTAACACAAGACTTACAGATCACAAAAGAGAGTGATACAGAAGAGCTGGAAAAGAAGTCATCAGAATAAGCATGCAGATCAGTGTTTGCAGAGGAATATACTAAAGCAAATTCGAAGGCACATTCACACAGAAAATGTCTAAATTGAAAAAAAGACATCAGAAAAGCAGCCAAAAAAAGGGCACTAATTAAAATACAAAGGTTTTCAATGTCAAAGAAGAGCTACTTTACAGGTAGGTAGGTAGGTAGCTACAGAAGTCTTGCTAACCCTTTGAAAATGTCACAGATGAGGGTCAGCTCTTGCTGCCAATAAAACCATATGATTTTAATGACTGCACGTCAAGATGCTTCAGTGCCACAGATTAAATTTAGTCGGGGGAAAAAGCAGCCTAGTTGAAATTATATGCAGCAAGGGCTCAAAGGGTTAAATGTAATATATGCAGAGAAATCAGGCAATGTTATCAGTATTATCTACCTTCCATACAAAGAATTATAGCAAGAGTAAAAGAGACAGTATCCCCTTCAGAGTTAAGTTAGGGCTTCTAAACAGGATTAAGGTCCACAGACAGCAATCTACCAGGTTTTATTCTCTCTTCATCAGCTCACTTCTTATTTCTCCAACAAGAAGTACCTTTAACCCTCAAACTAAGAGAGCAAGAGATACTGTGGTGAACATGAGGATAAAATAAAACCACATTACTCTGAATAAGTCCTTGCCATTTACCCTCTACAATACGTTAATGCAGCAGTTTTGCACAACAGCAATATAGCACATTGGTCAGACATCAACCCCTTTTAACAACCGCTCTAAAGGGATACTGCTCCTTTCTGACAGGAGGTTTACAGATCAATGGGAGGAAACAATCTGTTTTAAGAATATCCTCCAACTGAAGAGAGTTAGCTTGAACATTACAGGCTCCAAGCTGGGGATGTTCCAAACATACATAAAAGAACATGAGCACAGAAGAGATTATTTTAACAGGTCAATAAGAACAAGCTTGGTCAAAAAACCAACCTCCAAATAAAATGGGGGGAAAAAAGACACCCCAAACCTGGATTAGACTCATTTCATAAAGACATCTAGCTTGGCACTGTGAAAGAATATAGATTCACTTTCAGAAAAATAGTTTCTAATTAGTAGCTTCAGAGTCCAAAAGGCTAGTATACATGTTATGAGATTTTTAAATAAAAATCCAGTATTGTTCAGAAAACAGAGCACTTTGCAACCAACTGCTGTGGTTCAAGCAGCTCATACAAAAAAACAAAACAAAACAAAACAAAAAAAACCAAAACAAAACAAAACCCCAAATCACTCTATCAAACAGCAGCAAAAAAAAATAAGAAAATTTCTGAGGAAAAGTACAAAAAAAGGAAAAAAAAGAAAGTAGACAGTCAAGGGCACAGGAGCTCTTCAGACCGCCCACTGCATTTGAAAAACACCTTAGCAAGTAGCAACATGAAATATGCAATGTCTCTGCTAACTTGCTCCTGATTCAGCACCCTGTTTAGGAATACCTACATTTCCAGAGCCAAAGGATGGATGCAATTTTGTTTTCCGACTTGCAAATTTGACATATGCAAAAGCTATAGGACTTGACAATTTCTGCCTGAATCTGTAAACTTGGAAGTGTCTCATGTGTCCCTCCCTAGTTAGACAAAACCAAACCTTTCATATGCATAATACATTTTCTAGAATAATACAGTGATACTGAGATATTTCTCATTATTAAAAGGCCACAAAATAGGTTTATCTTTCTATATACATATCAAAAAACAAAACAAAACAAAAACCAGGACACTTGGGAATCTAGTTTTTATGACAGAAGTTGAACTAGAGAGTAAATTGCTACATGTAAATCCACACAGAATTCAGAGGGCTCCCTAATACCATGTTTTCAAACATTTTATCAGAAAGTTAGCAGTTACCCTATTCTAATATCTACAGATTTGTTACAACTTAATATTTCTAGTAACAGAGTTAACACTGAAAACAGCTCCTGGATTCCACTGACAACACACGCCCTCCTCTTTGCCAGACCCTGACATAAAGAACATTCATATATAAACTCTTTCTCTCTTCTTCTCTTAAAGGGATGTGGCAAACTGCACAAGTGGTTAGAAATTTTTACTTTCTTGGCCTAACGAGAGTTAGTTTCTGTAAATCCAACAGAATACTATACTGGCAGTTGCTGTGTATACCCAAGAGAAGAAAAAAGGAGAGGGAAACAATGATTTTACTCACAGAAATGGAGAAACACTGCTGGCACTGCAAAAGTCCTTATCAAATTTCTGGCAATGTGGGGTTCACTTAGCAGTGAGTTTTTATGTGCCTCTAACACCAAGCTGGTGCTAGACTTCAAAAATAAAAATATTTTAGCTACCCAATCTAAGTTCCACAGTAGCCACAGTATCCATATATGCAAGTATCCATAGAATCAAATTTAATACTGCTTTAAGGAGACTGGCAACAAAGAGGTTGATTATTAGAGATTCATAAAGATAAAGGGCCAGAGCCTTACTCATGTAAATCAACACCCGCAGAATCATCTTTGAAATCTACAACACCATCACCAGAGCAATCTCACCAATTCCTCACCTGCAGCAGGAGGATGCTGGCCACTAACTGTTGGTAAATCCAAAGAGCTATCAGACATGACATGCTTAAGATCTCCTCCCACATCAGCCAATTTCATGTCAAACTGAACAGAGAGTGCATCTTCAGAGTCCTCCTTGCCGACACTGCTGCCACCAATGGAAGGGAGATCCAAGGACTTCACTGATGCAGAGTCTTCTTTGGTGTGTCTGAAAGCCACTGCTTTCTCTCCCAGGGATTTGTCCGAGTTTATGGAAGAAAATTTACTGGAGTGGAAGTCAGCAAAATCATCATCACTTTTTCCTGAAGGAGTGTTATCTTTTAGGTCTTCAACACCTAGTCCAGATCCTTCCAGAGAAAGTTGTCTGAAGACATCATACTTGGTAGACACAGCAGTTAGGTTTTGTCCACCCTTCACTGTGCTGCCCATGTTGCTGGTTAGAGGAACAGGACTGGCTTCCTCTTTAAGGGCATCATATTTGTCATCCGGCTTTTGCTCAGATGAAATAGAGCTATTACTGAAAGCCATAAAATCTGCAAAGTCATCCTGCTCCCCAACAGGTGGTAGACCAGAATATTCCCCAAAAAGGTTGAATTCTCCAAACTCATCAGCCAAACTAGAAGTTTTCGTTGATGCCAATGCTGTCGTAGCAGCAGCAGAACCTGTTGACTGTGGTGTGGAAACTGATTTTGATGTGCTAAATGCAGCTGAAAAAGACAATGGTTTCTCGCTGCTACAATTAACTGAGGAAAACATATCTAGGTCTGCTAAGTTCAGAGGATTTTTCACTTGTGTTTGTTGTTTCTGTTGTATAGTTCCTGAGGGGAAGGATGGTGGAAAAGTTTTGTCTTTTGTCGGTGGCTCTAGTGGTGATACACTATCGGCTGTTTTAAAATCGGTGAAACCATCATCAGTTCCTGCAGATCTGAATTCTGCAAAGCTTTCTCCTGAAAGAAAAAATACCACCCAAAAATAGGAATGCTGAACTGAAAACCATATAATGCACAGCATATTAAACTGCAAGCATAATTTTACAGACTTTTCTCCACTGACTTGACATTACTTAATAATGTTTATAGTTTAAACCCTATCGAACTACACATTTGTTTCCACACTGAGGTCTAGTGATACTGAAATAAACAGAAATCAAACTGAAAGTACCTGCCAGTAACATTTTCATTTGCTCATGCTTTTAGTGTGGGATCTCCCCTAGCTCTAGATCCTACAGCTGGCTAAAAGCACTTCTCTCAAGACTTTCTGTTCCCACAGCTAGCTAACCAAGCAGACAATACAATAAGAAATAGGGTTAGAGGTTCTTGAAGAGAGGCATATTAAAATAGTGGCCCTTTAAAGATAAAACATGTTACCTGGTTAAAAAAAAAATCAGAGGTACCAATGAAGTATTATGAAAAATCCTACATCTAATATTCAGGATGGACAACACTTGGTTCAGCCAGTCACTTTAAGAATAACCTTAGATACTATGTGGTCTTGTTCAAGTAAAGGAAGGCATTAATTTGAAGGGAGCTTTGATGACAATGTTTGAAAAGGTTCTATTATTTGCAAAGCATTCTAGGTGGGGCACACTGTAAAGCAGCTCCTCCCCATACTCTCTAATAAGCTGAATCTCACAGAAAAAAAAGTCTCTAAGCACTTGAGCTTTTCTACAAATTAGCTGTCTCACTGCATCAATGAGCACTTATTTTTATTTATTAAAATTCAAAAAGATTTGAATAAATACCAACTCTATTATAACAAAGTTTTGGAAGTTATAATTTAGACTTTAGTTTATATTATGCTACTCTGAGAATGGAGTAACTGACGAATTTTTTTTTTTTTTGAGATGGAGTTCGTTCTTGTTGCCCAGGCTGGAGTGCA